TGTTAGAAACTAGTCAAAGGGAACAAGCAGGCATTGGGGGAGTCCCTGTTCCCCCGAGCGCTACCAGGAGTGACTAGAAATAACGGTCACAAGCTGGCAGATGGTAGATTCAGACTAGACATCAGGAGGCACTACTTCACTGTCAGGGCGGCTAGGATCTGGAACCAACTTCCAAGCAAAGTGGCACTGGCTCCTACCCTGGGGGTCTTTAAAAGGAGGCTAGATGAACACTTTGCTGGGGTTATTTGACCCCAGTACTTTTTCCTGCCATGGCAGGGGGTAGGACTAGATGATCTGCTCAGGTCCCTTCTGACCCTACAAACTATGAAACTATGGGCTACTGTGCAGTCAGCATCTTCTGCAGATGCACTTTAACTTTTACTTATTGTGTTTGGGATGCAAAGTAGAATATTAGCCATATTAGTAACTAATATTGCAAATTCATACTGTATAAACTGGAACTCTACATTCCATGAGAAAAACACTACAAAACTTCTTTAGGCTTGCCTTAAATTTAAAGTCACTATTAGGTATACAGAACAAAATCAAGTTTGAAGAAAATGGGTCAGGAGCTTTCATTTAATGAAGAGGAAAAGTTGAAAAACTTTTAGATTTAATTTGTTCACACAGGTCCAAAGATATTTTTTTGTACTTGAAATCTTATCCTCTCCATCTTTTCAAATCTTGCCCAAATCTCATGCAGTTTATTAAGGGCTATTTCATATAAACAATTTTAAGTTTAAAGATTCTGTTGTTGTGGATTATAGCTCCTAAGGTTAAAAAAACCCAGAATAAGTAGGATGTATCAAATAATTCCCTCAGAATTAAAAATGGCTGAGGAAATTTTGCAATTCACAAAGCATGAATAAGTAACTCTAGAAAGTGGCAGTTTTAGAAAGTTAATGAGAGTGTGAGGTTATAATAGAAAATTATGTGCAGAATTAAGTATAATTTATAGTTCTATAGCAGACTATTTCCCAAAACATTTTAGCAATCTTGTCTTAAATTTGCTCCCTCCCCCCCTCACTTACACACACACACACACACACACACACACACACACACACACACACACACACACACACACTGAAAAGGGCAAATCTGATTATCTATACATGAGCCAACAGGGAGTTGTATGCCTGCTTCATCTGCAGAGCTCAGCAAAATTCTTACCAACTTCAAGGAGATCAAAACAGAGCCTGCAATGTAAGTAGGTAATGGCTATCTGTTAAGCTTTGACCTGTCAAGAGTCATAACTGAAAGGACAATAAGCGAACTGAGGGAGATCCCACAAATAAAAAAGGAGATTTTCCAAGCTCCCAGAATGCTTCCATTTGGGCCATACATATTATGCAATGTATTAAGGACTACTGCATAGAACCAATTTGATGTTGTTGTGCATTAAGGCTGTTAGGGAAAAAATGGCATAGGCAGAATACATTGAACTTTCAGAATTAAAAATAGTGGAGGAAATTTGTCAATTTGCAAAGCATGAATAAGTAAGCCTAGAAAGCAGTTGATCCTTACCTGAGCTTGTGACACCAAGGCCACATCTACACAAGATGCTACTGTGCAGTGGTTGCTGCGCATTTATTCAGTACTTGTTTATAAGAGTATAAACAAGTACTGAATAAATGTGCAGTAACCCGAGTTACTGCACAGTAACACCGGCAAACACCTTTTTTGTGACACTACTGTGCACTAGCCTAATACTACTGTGCAGTAATGTCTCATCATAGTTTTTGCCCCAAGGGACCTGTAGAAACATTTATTCAGGGTCCTTTGGGGGCAGTTGACACCCTACAAGAGTACACAGTGCAGTAGGGCTGGAAGGCTTCTCCTCTTCCAAGTTTCTCTTGGAATGATACAGAATCATCTTCACTTACTGGCAACCCCACTGGCTAGCAACAGATTGGCCCTTACTCCACAATAGAATAAAAGAAAATGAGATTTGGAAGGGACCTCAGAAGGTCATCTAGTCTAACTTCCTGCTCAAAGCAGTCCCATCCCCAACTAGATCATGCCAGCCAGGGCTTTGTCAAGCCAGGACGGGCCTTAAAAACTTCCTAAGATGGAGATTCCATCACCCATTCCAGTGCTTCACCACCCTCCTAGTGAGAAAGTTGTTCCTAATATCCAACATAAAATTCCCTTACTGTAACTTGAGACCATGGCTCCTTATTCTCTCATCTGACACCACTAAGAATATTATCATCCTATGATATTATGGTGGCAGCCAATTTATTTAGTCCCGACTGACAGTCATGAAACAATTTTTTGTCCATAATAGTCATGTAACTTGAAGGGCTGTCAGGAGTACCAGTCCAGGCACCTATTCAGGGGAGACACCATAATGGCAGCCCCCATTCTGCCACAGCCCATGCTTGGGGAACTTGTACAAAGACAGGAGTAGCCTGCGCTGCCACAGCTCTTGAGCAAGTAGGTAAACACTCAAGTGCTCCCCTTCTTCCCCCCTCCCCTGCCCCCGCCTCCAACTATGTCACCCCAGGTGCCAAAAGTTAAAGATACACTTCTAGTCCATGGCACTGGAAAGGAAAGCTCAACATATTCAAAATAATGTTATAAAAGTGAGAATGAAGCTTTCTAGGAATTGTCTTTACAGTATTTTAGGTTGCTCTGTGTACACCTAGGAGTTGTCTCTTCCCCTGTCTGTACAGGGCCTGTCAGCTCTGTGTCTGATAGGGATAAGATATAAAGCAAGGGTATTTTTAAAACCTTGATTTTTACAGTATTGACTACTCCTTGATTTCTGGGTGTTTTCCTTTCTGAACAAGGATTAAACATTTATATCCATAACAGAAGCATCAGCAACCCTAACTAGGGTAAGCTTTCAGGAGCTATTCTTTTAGGATGGCATGTGGCAGGAGATCAGGAAGAAAACTTCTCCCTATGGCACAGTACAGGAAAAGTAGAAACTTGATGAAGCTTCTATGCTTTCCTCTGAAGCATCTGGCACTGGCTACTTTTAGACACAACATACTGGTTTAGATGGACCATGGGCCTACTCTGGTTTGGCAGTCGCTATGCTCTTATGACCAAATCTCCCTGTGAGCTGAGCAACAACACCTGGAGGCAATTTATGCTGCACCATAGCACCATCTGTAATGTCTAGGTTCTGGACACAGTTGGAAAGGATTTTTCGTGATCACTACATCATTTATATATTGCACTGCTATAAAAAACCAGATCTAACGGTCATCTTGGCGCACAGAATTATTTTATTAGAAAAAGGGATTAGATGCCTAAGTGTTGTCTCCACTTTGAAAAGTGTAGGTAATGGATTTTCCTGTCTGCATTACATTGTAACAGAGCTTGTCACACAGTGTAGCGTAGTATTATTTAGGTTGTCTAGATAGGGATTTAATTTCACTGAGCACCATCATAACTATCAACTTGATCATTGCAAATTCGTCACACTTTTCTGGATCTACGTGACAGAATGTGCATCACGCTCATGCCCTGCCAGAGCCCAACAGAAAGGAAGAAAGCTCTCAAATGCAAGACTCCCTTCCCCCACAAAAAACCAAACAAACAAAATATCAAAACACCATAAGAAAGAAAGTTAATGGGCATATAAGCCAGCTGCCCAGTCCTGGTCTCCCAAGCCCTGTCAGACTATTGCCAGTGCTTTTATGGCTCTGTCCAGTAACACAGAGGTATTTCCCACCTGCACATTTTAAAGATTAAATAATTTCTTAGTTTTCTATACAAAGGCCTGTATCGTATCAGCTATTTCATGGTAGAAAAAAATTATCCTGTACTTAGTTGAAGGGATACTACAGAATCTAGTTGCCCAGAGGAAAGATAAAGTGTCTGTGACATACCCTGACCCTGGGTGCAGTCAGATGTGCCTTTGAGACATGCTCCTGGGTTGTTCTCATACCTTCAGGGGACCTCTTCAGCCCCAAATCCCTTTATGACATCTACCCTTTGCATGCGTGACTGGTGCCGCCTTAGTCCAGGACACATGCCCCCTCAGAGACTACCCAGTGACTGTGGGGGGAGGTCCTCCCATGGGCAATCTCACTGACATGGGGGTATCCCCCCACAGTCAATCTCAAGACAGCTGATCGCTGCAGCCATTTCCAGACATGGCTGCGGCTGCAGTGATCAGCCACGGTGCTCCACTCCCCGGCCAACACTTTCAGGGGGGGCACCAGTGCTCCCACCTGCCCCCCCCACCCGTTGCCTAAGCGGCAAGCGTGGCCAATCAGGGGGTGCAATGGCACTGTCAGGGGGTGCACGTGCACCTTCTACATGTTGCCACTGGCCCCTTCACTACAGAACAGAACAAGATGCTCCAAGAGTCACTTCCCTGAGCCCTAGTGCCTCAGCTTTACCCACTTCACCTAGGTCTTGCCAGCTTTTAGCAGAGCAGATTTTGCCAACTACAAGAATCATCCTGTTGCAGGGCACTAACGTGATCCTGCTCCTTTAAGAACAGAAAGAGCCTAGCTAGACAGCCTGGGGAGCTGAGGCAGAGCTGCGCAGCTGCAGGTTGCCCAGGCAGCAGGCTAATGAGGGTATTAGCTGGCAACTGCAACCAGTCACTGACCAGAAGAAGGCAGGACCCTGGGCACATATAAGCCCCAGGGCTGGGACTGGCAGGGGGTTAGCTCTCTGGCAGCTGCCTGGGGAAGGAGCTCTTGTAAGAAAGAACTACTTAGGGATGCTTGATGGACTGGGCTGCTTCCTGCAAGATTAATAGAGCTCATAAGGTACCTGGGGCTAGGAGGCACACAATAATAAGAGAGCAATTTACCTCTTTAAAGGGGCAGAGTGCAGCTTCCATTAGCATTGTTATATTGTAACCCAGGGAGCTTGTTTTTCTTTTGTCTTTTATAACAGTGGACAAGGAAGAGGCTAATAGGGGAGGAGGAGCCCTCAATGGGGCACACAGTTGTGTACAGCACCAGCACCAGAGTGGTGCATTCACAGGGGCCAGGGATCCAGTGACAACAGGTGCCCAAGTTAGGACCTGACCTTATCAGTGAGATAATACAGGTACTCCTCACTTAACGTCATCCTGGTTAATGTTTTTTTTTGTTATTACACCGCTAATCTATTAGAGAACATACTCTTTTAAAGTCACGCAATGTTTGGTTATAATGTTGTTTGGCCACTGCCTGCTAGTAGATAACTACTGTGACATAACTGGATTTGCTTAACATTATTTTGCTTAAAGTCACACTTTTTCAAGACCATAATTATGACATTAAGTGAGGAGTAGCTGTATTTATATACCACCTGTGAGGGCATGGTAAAGGGGAAGTTTTGGAGCCACACATCTAGCCCATAAGGCTCAAGGTGTTCCGTGAATCGCCAACTTGGAGCAGGACCCAGCAAGGGGTCCAAAAACACACAGGGTTTAGCAAGGTCCAACAGGACCATGACTGCGCAAAAGCTCATGGGCAGCCTCCCTATTACTTACTTATACCAACAAGATGTGGCAGGCAAGAAAAGAAGGTACCTGCAGGGCAGAACTGACACGGTCATGGAGCCCTAGGGGCATCACTACCATTCCTGGGGACCCTGCACCATGATGCATCCCCTTATCGGGTCATGTGCTCAGCAATTTTTTTACCCCCCTTCTGTAAAAGAGGTCTGCACGTATGGTTAAATGCTCTGAAAAAAAAATCACACTTGGCAATAAATAAGTTAAAGAAGATAGGAAAAATATTTTTTTTTTTTTTGCTTTTTAAAAAAGCAGACATTAAAAACTCCAGTAACCATATGCTGAGTCACAGACGGGGATACAAGAATCAATGAACCAAAGAAAATACCAGAATGATTATTTTACCTCATCCCTGCACCCTTAGCTCTAAACTCTAAGAATTCCACTTTTCAGCTTAACAGATTAGAAAGCAGCTGTTGCCTCTGGCCTTTCTGTCAGGGCTTCCTGTACCTTGTCCTGTCAGCCAGAACACACAGCCTGCTAAAGTCACTGCCAATGCCCAGGAAAACTCATGATATACACTTGGTCCCATGGCAAGACTTAAGTACAGTTTCTTATCTGTTCATTTACATAAATTATCCATTGGAGCCTTGAGGAGCCCATACTATGCACATAACTTCCTGCCCCCACGGGGGTATCTGTTTATCAGACCACAAAGAAGTCTTTCCTGTTTCAATCATGACCTGATTAACCACTTCCCTACTAAAAAGTCTTGGCCAAATACAAAACATAAAAATTACTTTCATATCAAATACCACATTTCATACAGATGTAATGAGTATAATGCTAAATACAGCTTGATGTTACCTATCTGCAGAGACTACCACATGCCATATTGGTAAAACAAATTCAAGAAAACATGCATGATATCCTATGAACACCTCAAAATACTGTGGGTTTGTGACAGTGCCACTGCGCCAACAAAAGACAATTTCTTAAATGTAAAGCAAGCTCCCTCTCAGGTATGCACTATATATAAACCATTGCAGAGCCAGGAGAAGTGTGGCATGTGTGCTCCATACAAGTTACTTTACTAACAGTGTAAATATAGAGCTTTCTTATTCAAAAGATCTGCTTCCTGTATCCATCCAAGATCAGAGCAAAATCCAGCTCT